GATAATATAATAGCTTTTATAATATTGTTTAGAACATTGCAGTAGTTAACGTTTTTGTAAGTCAAATAAAAATGTGTGCATTTGACAAGATGGGCCTAAAATTGACATAGTACTAATGCTACATTTCTATTCTTTTCTTTCATAGGAATCATCTGTACAAAGTGTTTACAAGTTAATGTATATAAAATTTCTAACACTTTTTTACTGTGGTAAAAATGGTTTTGTTGACTTATATGCATACTTTAGATTATTTTGCAAGACACAAACACGTAACATAACAATTTTTCTTAGAGGCTTCCCATAAATACAGGAGTGCCTTCAGCCCCAACAGGGCTATTTGACACAATAACGCGATAGTATATAAAGATTAAGTTAGCTTACGGTCTATCCTACACACAAATGTGTCGGTTTACGCTACATTTCAATTTTATGTTTGAAACTGTGAGAAAAATAAGAGAAAGAAAATATAAATTTTAGAAAATTACAATCACGTAAAGCAATCTAATATTATCAATAATACACATATTCATTATTATTTAAATTACGCAATTAGCAAAAAAAATTGTAAAAATTTTGAATATACTATATTGTTATATTTTGTAAATGTAGACAATATATAAGATTAAATAAAACAAAATTTTCAATTAAATAAAATTTTATCTTATTTCCATTTTAATGTCATGAACGTAATAGAACGTTAAGACCATGTAACTTAAAACAAAATATTCAACTACAATTGTGTATTGTGCACGAATAAATGGATCCATTAAAAGTCACTGGAAAGAACTCTCAACAAGCACATACTGTGGCATACTATGGCGAGCTATGACACGAACTGATTTCGAAGTGGTTTCCTGCCTCAGTAGTTGACAATACTGCATACGTTCGATTCACATGGCAATTTCGAGGCACGGATTAGCTAATGCTATCGAAAGTTTATCGCACAAAGTTGAAAGTGTGTGTATATATATTACAATATTGTTCAAAATTGTATCATTTAATTTACCGCCATGTATTTGTACAACGCACATAATATGTTCCACTGCACGGACAAATAACACTCGATTAACTTTTATGTAATGTAATATATAAACACGAAACAATCTGCTATATTATTGCAGAAAATTAAAAAAGCACGTTAAAATGTTTACCAAATAGAAAGAATCGGCACTCTATTCCTTTAGAATTCTAAGAATCGTGCCGTAAAAATAACCTAATTAACGAATCACTTAAAGCAACATTGAATTTTATCGTAGATATCAAAATCAAACTATTTTCGAACATATTTTTATAAAACAATAAGACCGTTAATGTAAGAACATAACTAATACGAATACGAAGCCTATAACAGTCTAGCTTGGACCTTTGATTGCTTACATATAAACTACCGCGGTACTATCACGTGTTAAAACAAACTAATAATTAACTAATATACGTAGTCCCCTCAAACTGCGCGCCGAACAATTGTCGGCGAAACGCAACCCTAATAATCTGAAAATACTAAATCTGGAAACAATTCTTCTTATTGCGAAAAATATTACCACGGCCGGGAGTTTTTATAAAAATATAATAAAACAGAAGTTTTATTTTACAATATTAATTTAATCATCAAAAAATGAGTTCCGTATATTTTATATTTTCTAAGAATGCATTAAAAAATATTTATAAATAAACAATATTAATTCTTATTTATAATATTTATAAATATTATAAAAATATTTCTCAAACAACAGAGAAACACTGTTCCACTTATATTATATAATCGATTTGATTTCTCTTTTTTCAAAATATAAAAAAAGTAATAAATAGAGTCTTCACAATTTCTCTTTATATGGAAAAGTTGTCAGAATCATATCGAGAAATTCTCAAGAGACGTACTCACGGATAAAATTGATCTTGTCCCTTAAATCTTCGCGGTACATCAGAAACAAGAGACAAGTAATATGTTTTTAAGGGTGGTATGAAGCGAGACAGACAATGGTCTTTATGGTGAGTATCCGATAGCGACAGACGCGAGACGGATAATAATGTGTATGCTGCTTTAATAACGACGAGAGGCAAGCAAGCTAGTTATTCTTGGTTGGTTTATACATGCCGTCAACACGATAAATTTTGCTTACGATAACGCCTTACGTCGCGTATAGTGTCGACTAAAAGGACTCTTAGAATATTCAAGATACCTTAGAGTGTTCTCTATCTAAGTACCATGATTTTGCTCGATAAACCAAGCTCTTTGCCTTCATTTAACGTAGCTAGCTCTATGTCTCTTACAAACATTTTCGTTTAAGTATTTGTGAAAAATACGCAATTAAAAATTTATAATATCAAGAACATATTTTATACATGTCCTAAATGGGGTATGTTAAGTTAGCACCCCAACTATAGTACTCAGGAGTTCTGATTAGAGTTCCCCCTTCCTTTTGACGAGACGATGAGTTCCCTATAGTTAATAACAAGAGTTCCGCTCAATAAACCATATTTTTTTTACATTTTTTAAAAAGGGGGTGCTAACTTTTTATCGAATTTCGAGGTGGAATAGGTCTGAGCGGCTTAATAGCTTCAATTTGCGATTGCCTAGAGTTCCTGATACGTAAAAAAAATTTTCGAATAATAAAAAAAAATTAAAAATTTTTGAAAAATTAATTTTTAGATACAATAGTTCTGATGATAATTCCTGCTTCTTTTTGACGATACGAAGAGTTATCTATAATTTTTAATGATATATGTGCTTAATAATCATCTTCTAATAATTTTTAAAAAATGGGGTGCTAACTTTTTAACGAAATTCAAGGTCGCATAATTCTGATCAACTTAACAGAAGTATTTTGTGAATACCTAGAGTTCTTGATACATAAAAAACATTTTTGAAGAATAATAAAGTTTAAAAAAAATAGTGGAAATCTTTGAAAATTTTTTTGAGAGTACCGAGTAGTTCTGAGTAGCGTTTCTTATAGTTCTCGACGAGTTCTATCGAAAACTGTAAGGTGAAAAAGCGATTGAACCAACGGTTTGCAAGATACAGCGACATTTGTCAGAAGATCAACAATTTTTAAAGTGAGTATATCTCGGAAACCGTTGGTCCAATCGCTTTGAGCCCTGATACTTTTCGACAGAACTCGCCGAGAACTGTCCAGAACTCCGATCAGAACTATTCGGTATTCCCAAAAAATTTTCCGACGTAGGACTTAGAAAAAAATTTTTAATCAAGAATTTTTTGGGAGTACCGAGTAGTTCTGATCGGAGTTCTGGACAGTTTTCGGTGAGTTCTGTCGAAAAGTATCAGGGCTCAAAGCGATTGGACCAATGGTTTCCGAGATATACTCTAAAAATTGTTGATCTTCTGACAAATGTCGCTGTATCTTGCAAACCGTTGGTCCAATCGCTTTTTCACCTTACAGTTTTCGATAGAACTCGTCGAGTACTATAAGAAACGCTACTCAGAACTACTCGGTACTTTCAAAAAAATTTTCAAAGATTTCCACTATTTTTTTAAAACTTTATTATATTTCAAAAATGTTTTTTATGTATCAAGAACTCTAGGTATTCACAAAATACTTCTGTTAAGCTGATCAGAACTATGCGACCTTGAATTTCGTTAAAAAGTTAGCACCCCATTTTTAAAAAATTATTAAAAAATGATTATTAAGCGCATATGTCATTAAAAATCATAGAGAACTCTTTGTATCGTCAAAAAGAAGCAAGAATTATCATCAGAACTATTGTATCTAAAAATTAATTTTTCAAAAATTTTTAATCCTTTTTTTATTATTCGAAAATTTTTTTTACATATCAGGAACTCTAGGCAATCGCAAATTGAAGCTATTAGGCCGCTCAGAACTATTCCACCTCGAAATTCGATAAAAAGTTAGCACCCTATTTTTAAAAAATGTAAAAAAAATGTTTATTGAGCGGAACTCTTGTTATTAACTATAGGGAACTCTTCGTCTCGTCAAAAGGAAGTGGGAACTCTAATCAGAACTCCTGAGTACTACCTACAGTTTGGGTGCTAACTTAACATATCCTCCTAAATGGTCAACTTACATATTTTTGTTAATTTAATACAAGAAATGTATGATAAAAACCATGAAATTCAGTAAATGTATATTAAAAAGTAATACAAATATAATGTAAAAAAAATAATACAAAAAACTTGATTGATATAATTTATAAACAAATTATAAAAACATATTTTTTTCAGTAAAATTAATATTTTTATAATACGTCCAATCAACATATTTTATTCATTCATCTTAAAATTTATGCTTTGAAATACATTATTTTTATGTTAATAGTTCACTATTTATAAATTTTGTCATTTTGACTTTATAAAATGTTAAATATCAATTCAATGCGAAATATTCAAATAACACAGTCATATTATGTTAAACTAACACTCTCTGACTTGCGGATATGTTAAAAATTCAACAAAATTTTAACGAGGACTTGAGTGGACCGGTTTTAATATAAATACAAAATGTTCTTTACTGTATATAATCAATTAACTGTACTTGTCACTTTGAAAATGATCTTAATTCGATGTAAATATTACGCGACAAAAACTTTAGCAAGAGCACGTTGCAATTACAGCCCTTGTTTTCTCAAAACTATAATAAATTAATATTTTAAACCTATGTCAGAGAAACGGGCCATATACCATTTAAACATTTTGCAGTTGGTGTGGAACTGTAACTGTGTGAAAACTGAGCGAGCTTTTAGAAATAAATCATTTTTGACATGTAGGAAACCGTGAGATTAACGAGCATGAGATGTTTTTTAACTTTAGTGAAATTTCTTACAGAGACGCGTAGTAATGCAGCATCGTTTCATTAAACCGGAGAATTTTCTGCGCCGTAAGTTTTAGTTCAAATTGTTATTTCTTGCGCTGACGCAGATTACGGAGATACAAATAAATTAATATGACATTACATGGTTCAGTAAAAGCAAACCGCATACAGAAAATACGAAATTTATTGTGCAAAATATGCAATTATAATGCTTACCCTTTTTCGATGCGTGGAAGGAATCATCTTTTGGCACGTACTGAATATCGTACTCCAACGTGGTCTTCGGCAATATAATTTTGTCCTTGTTGATCTTGTAAACGGCGTACTTGAAGGCCAGCTCCGTGCTGCTATCCTTTTGGTCATGAGTGAATATAGCACCTGGAAAGTAAGCACGACTATGATCACTTTAATCCTTAAAGTGGAACACCATTCCGTTCCATAGTGATAATACTCTCAAACGATCAAAGTTCGTCCATCTATGCTAATAAACTGCAAGCTTCGAGCGAGACGGAACCTCATATAACAGAGATTATGCACAGTTTTAATATTATAAATGCGCTTATTCGGTTTGCATACTAAATAATTTCTCTAATGCTATCTATATTATTGCAATATTGTATATTAATTATGTCAATCGACCTTGACAAAATCTAAAATAATATCTAACTTCTCAAATTCAATTAAAACGTTCAATCTATTCAATATGTTACTGTAATTATAAGTATAAGAAAAATATAATTCAATATCAATTATTTGTAACAATTGTAATTAATAATAAGAAAAATTGTTAGAAATATTGTTAATTAAAAAATTGTTAATTAAATACTTTTCAATTTTTTAATGCTATCATACAATCACACTATTTATTCTTATTATATTATATAAAACAGATTAATTTAATTCGCTAAGTTCAACGTGTAATTAACTAACCGTTGATTAATATTGCAGGAAATGGTTCGTGGAATAACACCCATGTCAAGCGTATCAAACATATCATATATATATATATATATATATATACATATATACGTGCATAATATGTACATAATATGTCATGTATCTCTAACATTTGTTAGATAATGTAACATACATTACATGTATGTATACACTACGCCTATATCAATATCAATAATACAATTGTGATTGTGATGTAATAAATATTTATTGAGACAAAGTACATACTCGAATATATCTTTATTAATATATAATTAGTATGCGCGAAAACATAATAAAATATTAATATTTCTCTCAATATTATTAATATATTAATATATTATTATCTAATAATATGTATATATATGTATCTATACACATATATACACATATTAACATTTATTGCGATATTCTTTGTAATAAATTGTTTATAGTTTTTTAATGTTTATTACTATAAGTATCATTAAACTGGACTTGTCAATTTGATTTTTAATATTACTATCCAAGTTTATAGAATTGAATATAATAAAGAAAAAACTTTAAAATATTATTAAGCATTAAGATCCAGCTCGAATCAGATAAGACATTTTTCTTACTTTTAACGTATTTACATTTCGATCTAATGTTATATATTGTTGTTAAAATAAATGAAATTTTGACAAAGCAAACCACTGAATTTACAACAAACGGGCAAAGTTCATCATTAATCATCGATCTGATATTGAATGCAAAAACAAAATAAAATGTCGCGATAAAAAAATATGCCTACGTTAAAAATCACTATCTTCGTACGATACGCCAGCGACGTGCTCTTGAATGAAGAATGCATTCTAATAACACCTATTCATCGGAGTGACACCGATTACATAGCCGCCGGGCTATCAATAATATGTCAAAGGTCGCCTTTCTGAGGAATTTTTCAAAGGTGTCACGTTTCTAAAAGTCTCACGAATATACTTCCAATCCATCGAACAATCGTAGAGAGTAAGTCTAGACACACATCGTTCTCGTTGTTGACAACTAGCCCGTTCTTTGATAAAAAAGAATACTTAAGGTTGTTGGACATTGAAGAGGATTAATCTTCTCTCTTTCAGTATTCAGACTCTCATCGCAAAGTGCCCCGGGTCGTTTACAGAAATTAATGAGCATCCTTTGGCACGATAAAAAAACGGCAGGACACATTCCTAACCTCTATCACCAAGGGCGATTTTATGGTTGATTGGTGGCAAACGACAGTTTGAAGCAATGATTAACGTTGCTAAAATTAACATTTGATTTCAAGAATGGTCGTTTCTGAAAGTCCAAAAGTCGACATCGCGGCCTGACTAGCACCGTATTGTCCATTCGCGCCCATGTTTAATATTTAATTCAGTTTGACAATATTGTTTATAATTTGGTTCATAATGAGACGATATGTGTATATCAGTGATACAAAAAATAAGACTAATGCATCAGTAATTTACGTATCACATTTAATATGTATATGAAAGAATGAGAAAATGCATACACCTAAAGAAAAAGTTTAATAAAGTCGATGATTTTCTATTAATTAAAAGTCTTTCTCAAAAGCTACTGTAGTTATTTGCCTTTAAAATAATAATTAATATTTATAAATTATCAATATAAATTATATTTTTTATATTTTAACAAAAAAGACCCTTACCATTCAAAAACTTGTCACATGAAGAGGTAATGCCAAACGGATTTTGTTTTTTGTTTAAAATTATAATTTATATTTATAACACATGAATGTTAATTGCAGTTTAAAGCGAAATAATTTTTAAACACAGGTTTTTATAATTGATAAATAATATTGTCAGGTTTATTTAACTTTTCCTTTAAGTATTCTCTCATACAGTTGTCACATATTCTTTCTCTCTCCGTTTTTAACATTAGAAACATCAAAAACATAATAATATTTATTTTAAACAGCGTGTGCTTTCTACACGTGTTATAATATGATACTGAGTGTATATCAGACTAACACTCAGTGCGAGAAATGAGAAACTATCAATATTATTACTATTCTAATATCTAATAGTATCATTCGTTTATTACGAACACAACCCGTGTTCGTAATTGAACATATTATAACATAATTAATTATTGTAACATAATAAATTAACATAATAATATAGAATATAATAATGAACACGTTATGTATATAATATGATTAATGTAGATATTAATTATAATAATATATCGACATAACGAATATATATTATAGTAATATATATAATATGTATAATAAATATTATTGCAATGTTATTATAATCATAAAATATATAAAAATAAGATTTAAGATTTATATGATATATAGCTTGAAGAGCCACTTATGTATATGAATTTTCTTTTATGTAAAAACTGAATTAGATGCATACATTAAATATATTAATTACTTCAACTAGTCATTTATCATCATGATCTCTATCGTAACACAATATTACATTTTGTAATCTCAACACATATATATTTGTTTATATTAAATTAGATGATAGAGAAATGTTGAAATCAACTATTTTATCCAAAGATAAAAGAAAATGATGTTCAATTGAGCAACAGAATAAATGGATACATTGTAAGCGGTAACGAGTTCCCTTAAATCGCCGGTCCTCCTTGTTCCCCGTTTTTCATCAGATCTTAACCCTTCCTGATGGTATTCTCTCAGTCCGACACGCTCTTTTACTTTTCGTTTCGCATCGTAACTAACTAATCCATTTATCTGTAACAGAGTAGATGCGCATTAGCCGCCTTCCATCTCTCATCCCACAGTGTTATTCGCCACTGTAGCTCTCTGCCCGCTATTCTTTTTCCGTTTCTCCGTTTTCGCCGTAACACGTTAAGTACTCTGATCCTCCCAGAAATGCTTGACGACTTCTTTCGGTATTTTCTTATCTCATCGACTACGGGCTGCGCTCGACCATTAGCTGTGTTTAAATAAGGAATAGGTAATCCCTAAAATCTCTAAGTATGTTTACTATTGTTTTTTAGTCCGGCACGTTCGTTTGTTTCAGTTAAAATACGAACAAAGAGAATAATTTTTACAGTATTAACAGATAATTCAATAATTTCAATTATATATCCAGTATTGTTTATAAAAGATACTCAAATATGCATCCATATCAAAACATAGAAAATTATTACGAATAAAATGGTGACTTATACATTTTTAATTAAATCTATATTTTCAAAAATAAAATATAAAGGAAATGTGTAAAAATTATAGATATGAAGAATGAAACATATGACAAATGGGCCATTTTGGAAGTGTGTATTCGATTTATAGGAAAAAAACTTATCTTCTTATACGCTTGACTCACATACTTTCAAATAAATTTCTTTAAATCATTTTAGTAGCCTTAATTTTCAAAGCACTTCCTAAAGAATCTATTCACCATCTTTAATCCCTGGAAAGTATTTTTGAAAAAAGTCAAAGATTATTATTGGCACAGCTTGATGCTCAACGAAACGCTTCACGTCATCGTAATATTCAAGAGGCTTGTTATGATGAGAGCACCAGCAAAAAATATTAGCTTGAGCGCATTATATATCATCAAAGCGCATTATGATTGTCTAAAGTATAATATTAATAATTTAATACTTTGAAGAAAGTAACACAGCAATGTTAAAACCACGAAAGAGGTACATAGTGATTTATTACTTAACAACTGTAATCTGTTTGCGCGTTAATCTCTCACCCCGTCTCTCTCTCTTTCTTTCACTCTCTCTCTATTTTGAGTTTACCTCTAATTAGCATTATTAGCATTGAGTTATAAACTGCTTGACGTTTGTAATCATTCGTTTGTACACGTATATATAAACCGTGATCAATTCGTATGTTGGTCTTGGTCATCTCGGGGGATCTGTGGCAGATTTACGGAGGATACGGCAAGTTAATATCGCTAATTCCTCGTAAATCGCAACAGATTTCCATTAGGAAGCGCGAGTTGAATACATAAAGTTCACGGTACCTACGTTTTCCCAGAAACAAAATAATACAAATATTCCTGGTGAATATTGGCAATACAGAGCGACGATACGACCAAACAATCTCTAGAGACCTCGAGAACAGAAATTCTTCGATATTATTTTACAAGAAACAATGACGCAGAACGTGTATAGGAAAATAGAAAAAAATAAAATAGAGCGACTGATACATTATATAATTAATTTTTACCTATATATATTATTTTATATATATATATATATATACAGCCTCTAACTTTAATTTTCTCTTTTAAGTCTCATAGATCTTCAATATGATATTTTAACAACGGCAATACAGTGCTAGTTTCTAACGAGAAACTTGAAGGCTGCTTGTTGTAACACTTTGTGATTACAAGCGTGCGTGAGATTAAAGGAAGAAGATGAGCAATTGTAGAAACTTTGAAACAAGAAATTCACCCGCGTTGTAGTTACACCCGCGTGCTGAAAATACGATTTGA